CTGGCTTGCACCCCAGCTCTTGTATGCATAAATAAATAAAGCTTTTTTAAGAAATAGTGGAAGCAACCCAAGTGTTCATAGAGAGAGAATGAACAAAATGTGCTATATACATGCAATTAATATTTTTAAATTTTTATTTTATATATTTTACATCATTTTTTCATTTTTGTACAATGTATGCATTTTCATCTTGTTTATAGTCCCCATAAAACTCCCACCATCCTTGGGCCTTCCTGGTGGCACAGGCAGTTGAGCGCCACACTGTGAAGCTGTCAACAGCCTCTATAGCGCGGGTTGGATTTGGGCTGGCTGGGGAGAATCCCACATGGTACAGCAGACCTCTCCTGTCTCTCCCACTGCTTCCCTCAGCAGTGTATGTCATCAGTCTGCCTGTTCTGTTCCCTGCTCTATCTCTGGTGAATCCTCTCACCCTCCCACACAACTAGCCTGTACCCCTGTTCTTGTATAAATAAATAAATAAATCTTTTTTTGTTTTGTTTTTGTTTTTTTTATAGAGGCGTGTTTTTATTTATTTATTTATTTGTTTGTTTGTTTTTGTTTACACATGCACTGGGTACAGTCAGAAGCGTGGGAGGGTGAGAGAATTCACCAGAGCCAGAGCGGGGAGCAGAGCAGGCAGAAGGACTGAAGTACACTGCTGAGGGGAGCAGCGGGCGGCAGGAGAGGTCTGCGCGCCATGTGGGACCCTCCTCTGGTGGCCGGGGAGCAGCCGGGGATCGAACCGGCGCCGCTGAGGCCACAGGCAGCTTCGCAACCCAGCGCTCAACCGCTGCGCCACCGGGAGGCCCCTAAATAAATAAATCTTTAAAAAAAATTCCCACCACCCTTGTTTTGATTTTTTAAAAATATTTATTTATTTATGCATACAAGAACTGGGATACAGGCCAGAGGTGGGGAGGCGGTGTGTGTGTGTGAGGGAATTCACCAGAGACGGAGGGGGAACAGAACAGGCGGATTGACTGAAATATACTGCTAAGGGGAGCAGCGGGCAAGACAGGAGAGGTCTGCTGCGCCATGTGGGTTGCTCCCTCGCTGGCCTGGGATCCAGCTCATGCTGCAGTGGCTGCGAATAGCTTCATAGGTTGTGTCTTAACCCCTTGCGCCACCAGAGAGACCCACATGCAATTAATATTATTCAGCCTTGAAAGGAAAGTAAATTATGACACATGCTATAATATAAATGGACATTCGAAGCTATTGTGCTGAGTGAAATAACAGAAAAATTGGGTATAAGTCCACTAATATGAGGTACCTAGAGGGGTCTCATTCATAGAGACAAAGTACAGTGGTTGCTCCCAGCTGGAGGAAAAAGAATGGGGCATGGGTAAAGGACATAGATATTTACTTTTACCAGATGAATCATGTTTTGCAAATTCTTTGGATAATAATGTCAATGAACTTACTACTTTTAAGTGGTTAAGATGGGGGAGGGACAAGTGTGTCTATCAAGCCCCCCCCCAAAAAAAAAGGGTTACGATGGTAAATTTTATGTCATGTGTATTTTACCACAATCTTTAAAAAGTGTGTTTTCGCTACAGACCTCGGAAAACCATGGCTACTTCTAAGGGAATGGCCATCGGCATCGACCTGGGCACCACCTACTCGTGCGTGGGGGTGTTCCAGCACGGCAAGGTGGAGATCATCGCCAATGATCAGGGCAACCGCACCACCCCCAGCTACGTGGCGTTCACCGACACGGAGCGGCTGATCGGCGACGCGGCCAAAAACCAGGTAGCCATGAACCCCCAGAACACGGTGTTCGACGCAAAGCGGCTGATTGGCAGGAAATTTAATGATCCTGTAGTGCAATCAGATATGAAGCTTTGGCCTTTTCAAGTGGTCAATGAAGGAGGGAAACCCAAAGTAATGGTTTCCTACAAAGGGGAGCAAAAAGCCTTCTACCCTGAAGAAATCTCTTCTATGGTGCTTACTAAGATGAAGGAGACAGCTGAGGCTTTTTTGGGCCACTCTATCACCAATGCTGTGATCACTGTTCCCGCCTATTTTAACGACTCTCAACGCCAAGCCACCAAAGATGCTGGTGTAATCGCAGGTCTCAATGTATTAAGAATTATCAATGAACCCACAGCTGCTGCCATCGCCTATGGCTTAGATAAAGCAGGTCAGGGAGAGCGACACGTCCTAATCTTTGATCTGGGTGGAGGCACATTTGATGTATCCATTCTGACCATAGATGATGGCATTTTTGAGGTAAAAGCCACAGCAGGGGACACGCACCTGGGCGGGGAGGACTTCGACAACAGGCTGGTGAACCACTTCGTGGAGGAGTTCAAGAGGAAGCACAAGAAGGACATCAGCCAGAACAAGCGCGCCGTGCGGCGCCTGCGCACAGCCTGCGAGAGGGCCAAGCGCACCCTGTCATCCAGCACGCAGGCCAACTTGGAGATCGACTCCCTGTTCGAGGGCATCGACTTCTACACGTCCATCACCAGAGCCCGATTTGAAGAGTTGTGTGCAGACCTATTCCGGGGCACGCTGGAACCCGTGGAGAAGGCACTTCGGGATGCCAAGATGGATAAGGCTAAAATCCATGACATTGTTTTAGTAGGGGGCTCCACCCGTATCCCTAAGGTTCAGAGGCTGCTACAGGACTACTTTAACGGCCGTGATCTCAACAAAAGCATCAACCCCGATGAGGCAGTGGCCTATGGGGCGGCAGTACAGGCAGCCATTTTGATGGGGGACAAATCTGAAAAGGTACAAGACCTGCTTTTGTTGGATGTTGCTCCCCTCTCTCTAGGGCTGGAGACAGCGGGGGGTGTGATGACTGTCCTAATCAAGCGCAACTCCACCATCCCCACCAAGCAGACACAGATCTTTACCACCTACTCGGACAACCAGCCGGGGGTGCTAATCCAGGTGTATGAGGGCGAGAGGGCCATGACTAGGGACAACAACCTGCTGGGGCGCTTTGACCTAAGTGGAATCCCTCCTGCACCCAGAGGAGTTCCTCAGATCGAGGTGACCTTTGACATAGACGCTAATGGTATTCTCAATGTAACAGCTATGGACAAGAGCACAGGCAAGGCCAACAAGATCACCATCACCAATGACAAAGGCCGCCTAAGCAAGGAGGAGATCGAGCGCATGGTTCAGGATGCTGAGAAATACAAAGCTGAGGACGAGGTCCAGAGAGAGAAAATTGCTGCAAAAAATGCTTTAGAATCCTATGCTTTTAACATGAAGAGTGCTGTGAGTGATGAAGGCTTGAAGGGCAAGATTAGTGAATCTGATAAAAAGAAAATATTGGATAAATGCAATGAGGTCCTTTCGTGGCTAGAAGCCAATCAACTGGCTGAGAAAGATGAGTTTGAACATAAGAGAAAGGACTTGGAGAAAGTGTGTAACCCAGTCATTACAAAACTCTATCAGGGAGGATGCACTGGGCCTACATGTGGAACAGGGTACTCTCCTGGATCGGCTGCCACAGGCCCCACAATTGAAGAAGTCGATTAGTTATCTGAAGCTTGAGGGTTCAGGGGTCACCTCTAAGGTGAATTTTGTTCCCCATGCCTTCAAACATTGTTATGATTCTTGAATTGACTGAACCTGAATCTAAGCTACCATCCCTTTGAAATTCTGATTGGAGGATGTCATATTTCATCTCACACTACAGCATTCTGTTTCTAATTCTGGAATGAGACTTTTAGAAATACCAGCCTACTCTTTGAACCATTTGATGAATTTGAATGTCTGCTATTTATTTCTGGCCTCCCCAACTTACTCCTGTGTGGATGGTTATTTGTCACCCAGTAAAGTTGTTCCTAAAGGAAATTACTTCTTGTCTCTTTAGATTGTGAGTGTATCTTGAAAAAGTAAGGAAAAAGAGTTCATGAAGAAAGCATGTGCTCTGGTTGTGCGTTGTGAGTGATTTAGATGGAAAGGACAAATTATTTGAATTTTCATGAGCTAATTGTTTCAAAGAGGAAAATAACTTTTTTTTTTTTTAAAGATTTATTTATTTATTTATTTATTTATTTATTTATTTATTTATACAAGCATTGGGTACAGTCAGAAGCTCAGGAGGGTGAGAGAATTCACCAGAGCCAGAGCAGGGAGCAGAGCAGGCAGAAGGACCGAAGTACACTGCTGAGGGGAGCAGCGGGCGGCAGGAGAGGTCTGCGCGCCATGTGGGGACCCTCCTCTGGTGGCCGGGGAGCAGCCGGGGATCGAACGGGCGCTTTAGAGGCTGCGGGCAGCTTCACAACCCAGCACTCAACCTCTGCGCCACCCGGGAGGCCCGAAAATAACTTTTTTTTTTCAATTTATTTATTTATGCATACAAGAGCTGTGGTACAGACCAGAGGTGCGGCGGGGGACGGGGGTGAAAGGATTCACCAGAGACAGAGTGGGGAACAGAACGGGCAGACTGACTGAAACACATTGCTGAGGGGAGCATCTGGCAAGACAGGAGAGGTCTGCCGCGCCATGTGGGTTGCTCCCTGGCCGGCTGGGGATGGAACTCTAGATAGCTTCACAGTGCGGTGCTTAACCCCTTGCGCCACCAGGGAGGCCCTGCAAGGCAGGGCCTTGGTGTCCCCTGGTGTGTCCCCCGCAGTTTTCAATAGGAGGTGTCTGTGAGGTATGGGCAAATCTTCCTGTGGATTACACCGTCATAGAAAAGAACTTCAGAGAAGAGCAGCGGCTCCGCAGGTCAGGCGCCCCGGGGTTGGCGCATGCGCGGCGGGAGCCCGCCGCTCAGGGAGGAAGTGGGAGGCAGGGGCCCCGCCCCTTTCCGGGCTTTCACGTTCCTTGGACGCTCCCCGGCCTGCTTTCCGCGAGCGGCGGGGCCGCCGCACGCTCTCCGTTACTCTCAGCTTTCCGCGGCGCTTCCGGCTGCGCCTGCGCGACCCCGCCCCTCCCACGCGCGGGGCGGCACTCGGGTTCCCGCCCGGCCTGCGGCCCGCGGCCCGGTTCTCGCTTTCCCGGTCCGGCCGGCAGCCCGCGGCGCGAGCACCATGGTAGGTACCGTGACGTCACAAGGGGGCGCCCTCGGGAGCGCGGGCAATTTGGACGGTTGGGGGCGGCGCGGGTGGGGGGTCCCGGCTTTGTCCCTCCGGGCTGGCCTCGGGCCTAGCATTTTCCCTCCAGCCTTGGCTTATGCGCTCCAGAAGAAACACCTGGTTGCAAGTGCTTTTTTCTCTTATGAGGAGGAAAAGCCAGAGTCGGCGGGACAGCGAGATTCCCCGGGGGGCATTTCCCTGACGGAGACCAGGCTTTGGGAGAGTTGCGCGGTTGGGGGGATTTCCACGGTCAGGTCACCGGGGCCCCCGGAGAGGAGGTCGGTTGAGTGTTGGCCCCGCCGGAGCCCGGGTGGGTGCAAGCAGAGCCTCTCTCGCGCTTTAAGTCGGAGGCTCAGGAGCGTGTGTGTAGCATCATTTGGACCCAGCCGTTCATCCCTGTCACCGACCATTCATTCCCGGGATGTTTGGAGAAGTGGAGATGTGGGGATCCCACTACCAGTATTTGATAGTACTGGAAAGGGGACGCTCCTCCTGCCGTGTCCCTTCCCCTATGATGGTTTTCCCCCTCTCGCCCAATAGCTCTTCTATTCCTTTTTCAAGTCCCTTGTGGGCAAGGATGTGGTGGTGGAACTCAAGAATGACCTGAGGTAGGTGCCTATTCCAACAAGTCTTTAGGGAGTGGATATGCCCAGCACCCGCTGATCTCTTTAAGAAGTATTTGAGGGTTGAGGAAGGTGGAGAGAAGAAATGATTTGTGCCTTAAACCTACAGATTAGCTGGGGTGTTGTATCTTGTATGGGAAAACAATACAAGGAAATGTAAATACTGGGGAGGGGGTGGAGGCATCAATAACTTTTTTTTTTTTTTTTTTTTTACAAAACGAACAGTTTTGTTTTTTTCTGATTAACTTTTATACTCCTTTGATCCAGCTTCTAGAAATGTAAGAATCAGTTCCACAAGCAAAAATGCATGTACAAAAGTGTTTATAGTTTTATTTGTAATAGCCAGAAATCGGGAATGGGTTAATTAAACTGATACTTGCATATTATGTGATTATCACATAGGAATGAGATGTATTAATATAGAAAGCTGCTGCAGAATAGTGTATGTGGCATAATCTCCTTATTTATTAAATAAAATTTAAAATAACCATAAAATCAATGAAACCCCTCTGTACAGCCTTTACAACCCCTACCACCTTGTCCCAAAAGCTTCTAATGACCTTTTAGAACTTGGATTAAATGTTGTGTCCTAGAAAGACTTCTAGGTTCTTCTAGTCAAGTCAATTGCATTGCCTTAGACTTCTTTCCTAGTGGCTACTTCTCAAGTTTTATTCACAGGAATAATATTGTTGGTGGCCTGTCCTTCCTACAGGGCCAGGACCATGTTCTTTGTTTTTAATTTTTAATGATACTTTTTTCCCCCCACATTGTTCATTTTTGTACACTGTTTGATTTCTCCCCTCAGGTATATTCCTCATATAATTCCCACCATGAAATCACTCATGAACCATCACCAGTCTTTTGTGCTCTTCCCTCCTCTGTTTTGATCCCTCCCCGTCCCCTGCTATATGTCTCCAATTTATAGTTTGCCTGCTAGTTTTGCCTTTTTTTTTTTCCTCACCCCTTGTTTGGTTTCCCTGTATTCCTCCTAAAAGTGAAACCATCTGATATTTTTTTTTTCCTTCTGACTTACTTTACTAAGCATAATTCCTTCCAGCTCCATCCATGTTGCTGCAAATGGCAAGAGTTTTTCTTTTTTGATTGCTGAATAGTATTCCACTGTGTATATATCCCACATTTTCTTGAGCAAGTCATCCGTTTTTGGTCATTTAGGTTGTTTCCATATCTTAGCTATTGTAAATAGTGCTGCAATAAACATAGGATTACAGGCTTCTTTTCGAATTAATGTTCCTTTGGGTAGATTTCTAGGAGTTGACTTGCTGGGTCATATAGTAGCTTCATTTTTACTAATTTGAGGATCCTCCACACAGCTTTTTGTAGTGGTTCAACCAGTTTGCATTCCCCTCAGCAGTGTAAGAGGGTTCCTTTTTATTCACAACCTCACGGCCAGGACCGTGTTTAAGCTCGCCATTGTTTATAGAGTCTAACATAGGCCTGACATATAGTAGGTGCTTAATAAAATGTGAACTGAAAGAAAAATAGCTAACATTTGTGAACCTCCTATCAACTAAGTACTCCTCTGAATACATTTATTAACTCATTTAATTTTCACAACATCCCCACATGACATTTGCTAGGATTGCTAGAACTGAAGTTTAGATAATTTAGGAAAATTGCTTATCTGCTAGTAAATTACACAGCAGAACTGATATCTAATCCTGTCTGGCTGTTTTTTTTTTTTTTTTTTTTTTTTTTTTAAGGAGGTTCATATATATATATATTTTAAGATTTATTTTTACTGATGCATATAAGAACTGGGATATAAGTCAGAGGTTGGGGGGAGCAGAGGTGAGAGGATTCACCAGAGACAGAGAGGAGAGCAAAATAGGCAGATTTACTGAAATACACTGTTGAGGGGAACAGCGGGTGAGACAGGAGAGGTCTGCTGTGCCATGTGGGTTAGCTCCCTGACTGGGAATGGAACATGCCACAGTGGCTGGTGGTAGCTTGATGGCACTGAGACTTCAACCCCTGAGCCACAGGGAGGCCCCAGGTTCATATTTTTTATGCAATTGTGAAACTTGCTTTTCATTTAACAGTAGGTTATGGATATTTTCCATGCCAATCTAGTTGCTCTTTAACATTCTTAGTATCTGTGGCATTTTTATTATATGACAAGAACTAATTTATTTTTTTTTAAAGATTTATTTATTTATGCATACAAGAACTGGGGTGTAAGCCAGAGGTGTGGGGGTGAGAGGATTCACCAGAGACAGAGTAGGAAACAGAACAGGCGGATTGACTGAAATATACTGCTGAGGGGAGCAGCGGGCGAGACAGAAGAGATCTGCTGCGCCATATGGGTTGCTCCCTGGCAGACCGGGCATCAAACTGGTGTTGCAGTGGCTGGCGATAGCTTGATAGTGCTCCCTGTGCCACCAGGAAGGCCCAACGGGAACTAACTTAACCGAACCTTGTTGTTGGACATTTTGGCTGTCTCCAGTTCTTTGCTTTTACAAACATTATTGCCATAGCATACATCTTTGTACACATGATTATTTCTTTGGGGAAAAAAATCCTCTAGGATGTACATTTAAAATAGAAATATCTGGGCCTCCCTGGTGGTGCAATGGGTTAAGACACAGCCTATGAAGCTGTCCGCAGCCTCTGCAGCATGAGTTCGATCCCCGGCCAGGGAGCTACCCACATGGAACAGCAGACCTCTCCAGATTCACCACCTGCTCCCCTCAGGAGTGTACTTCGGTTGATCTGCCTATTCTGTTCCCCACTCTGTTTCTGGTGAGTCCTCTCACCCTCAATACCTCTAGCCTGTACCCCAGCTCTTGTATGCATACATAAATAAATCTTTAAAAATAAATAAGGGCCTCCCTGGTGGCACAGGCGATTGAGCACTGCACTGTGAAGCTGTCCACAGCCTCTGCAGTGTGAACTCAATCCCGGCTGGTGGGCCAGAGTCCCACATGGTGGGGCAGATCTCTCCTGTCTCGCCTGCTGCTCCCCTCAGCAGTGTATTTCATCAGTCTGCCTATTGTATTCTCCGCTCTGTCTCTGGTGAATCCTCTTACCCTCCCCCGTATCTGGCCGGTACCCCGGTTCTTGTATAAATAAATAAGTCTTTAAAAATAAATAAATAAAGCTGTAATATGAGGAACATCATAATATCCTAATTTAAAAAAAAAAATAGTAATATCTGTTGTGGTTTTATTGTTTTTCTTAAACTTTTTTTTTCTTAAACTTTTTAATTCTCTTATATCATTATTCAATTTTGTATAGTTATCCTTTAAAAAGTTTGAATCAGTGTATTCTCTCCTCAACAGTGTCTTCCACATTTCTATATGAGATAACATTTTAGTGGGGGAAACATTGACATGGAATGGTAAGGGGAGGGAGTTGCCTTTTAGATCAGAGATTTTCATTTATGGGACTGGCAATGCACACGGAATCAATGGAATATAGATTGGGTCAGTTAGACAAGTAGGGAAGTCAAATCAAATCTAGGCAATTACCTGAGATGATTTGTTTATTTTCCTCTTTTCTCTTTCCTGGATCTTGCACATGGCAAGAATAACTTGTTAGAGTACCAGGTCCTAAAGCTCCTGACTTACCAGATTTGAAGGTAGTCCAGTGGGTTGGGAAAAGAGCTTTTTTTTTTTTTTCTCATGTTTGTTGTCAGATTACTTTTGTACCAAATGCCTCGTTCTTTTTTTTTTTTTTAAGATTTATTCACTTATGCATACAAGAGCTGGGCTATAGGCCAGAGGTGTGGGGGGTGAGAGGATTCACCAGAGACAGAGTGGGGAACAGAATAGGCAGAGTGACCGAAGTACAATGCTGGGGGAAGCAGCGGGCGTCTGCTGTGCCATGTGGGTTGCTCCCTGGCTGACAAGGGGTTGAACTCATACTGCAGAGGCTGTGGACAGCTTCATAGGTTGCGTCTTAACCTCTTGCACCACCAGGGAGGCCCACCAAATGCCTCATTCTTAAGGGACTGAATGAAACTGCACCACTACCTTTTGCAGTTCCTTGAAGTTACTTCACTGGTGCAGATGGTAGTAGGATGCTTAGACTTCAGCAGCCAGGGATATGATGAAACCACCACGGAGGCAGTAGGTCTCAGATACTGGATTTCAAAGACTTATAATTTGGTGTAAGTTACTATTCAACAGAGAACTACCAACTTTTAGGCAAGATAAGGACATTTAAAAACTGCCATTACAATCATTAAAAAAATTTAAGACCAAAATAAACAGGAACACAGAGAGCAATTACTTAGGAAAAGAATACTTGACAACCTTTCGCACACTACATACACACTGAGCACACACTGCCAGACCTAGATGGTCTCATGAAACCTTAGGACACATCAGTGTTTGAATACCACAGTTCTACAGAGCTTAGAATTTGGTGATCATGTGTAGGATGGGTAGGATCTAGGTAGCCAAGTTAGAGGTTGGCTTGGATTCAGGTGTAAAGTAGTCAGGACTTGGTGTGTAGATGTCAAACTAGAAAGAGATTGTTAGAAAGACATCTACAGATGATGGGGATTCCTGGGACAGGGAGAGAAGTACAACTGATAGGATTTGAGGTTGTGGGATTTAGTGTTGAAGCCATTGACATTAAATGGGGATAGAGGTAACATGGCTTGGAACAGCCAAGCCATAGTGTTTTGTTTTGTTTTTAAAGATTTATTTATTTATTTATACATGTACTGGGTAGTCAGAAGCGCAGGAGGGTGAGAGAATTCACCAGAGCCAGAGCGGGAGCAGAGCAGGCAGAAGGACTGAAGTACACTGCTGAGGGGAGCAGCGGGCGGCAGGAGAGGTCTGCACGCCATGTGGGACCCTCCTCCGGTGGCCGGGGAGCAACCGGGGATCGAACCGGCTCTTCGGAGGCTGCGGGGGCAGCTCTGCAACCCAGCACTCAACTGCTGGGCCACGGCCACCGGGGAGGCCCAGCCATTGTGTTTTGAAAGCAGTCTTCATTAACATTTCAGGGGGCTCCAGGATTGGGGAAAGGAGATGTCCTTTGTGCCTTCATTATTGAGGACAAGACTTAGCTGTTTTACCTACTTTACTTGGGACTCTGGTTCTGAAGCGGTGTTTGAAAATACCTGATGATTTTAGGAGTCAGACTGAAGTCTCTGTTTATTTGTTCTAAACTTGGGCAAGTTATACAACCTCTCTGAATGCCTAAATGGTTATAAAGTGAAGTGCTGTAAAGATTACAGATACCAAGGCCTCCCTCGTCGCACAAGGGGTTAAGCACTGCACTATGAAGCAATCCCGCAGCCTCTGCAGCACGAGTTCAATCCCCAGCCCCACATGGCGCAGACCTCTCCTGTCGCGCCTGCTGCTCCCCTCAGCAGTGTACTTCGGTCAATCTGCCTGTTCTGTTCCCCACTCTGTCTCTGGTGAATCCTCTCACACACACACCCCTGCATCTGTGGCCTGTACCCCAGCTCTTGTATGCATAAATAAATTTAAAAAAAATTACAGATACCTTGGGGATAGAGGCTAAGGACTTAACAGTTGTTTAATGGTAGCTATTAAGAGTGAGGTATTTCAGGTGGAAAGGCGTTGAGGTCTAAAATGACACACACCACTATCTCTTACTCCAGGGCTTAGGAATGTCCCCTTTTGGTTCCACCTTTTCTGACTTCCTCAAGTCCTTGGCTTCTCCCAACCATGTTCTATTCATACTCTGAAATCACCTGTGTTGCCTTTGGTGTGAACTAATTTTTTTTTTTCTTCTCTATACCCCTTACAGCATCTGTGGAACACTCCATTCTGTGGATCAGGTGAGGTATAGCAAGGACCCAGAATTGGGTCTTAGGGGAAGAGGGGAGAGCTTAAGGGGTGGGTCCTCGCATCTTGTCCTAGGGCTAATGATTGTTTCTCTTCTTAGTATCTCAATATCAAACTGACAGACATCAGTGTCACAGACCCTGAGAAATACCCTCACATGGTGAGTTGGGGATGATAGAGAAGAGGAAACACCTCTAAGAGCATCTAGGTGGGAGGACACTTTGAGGGATGTTTTCACATTTGTCTTTTTGTCTAGTTATCAGTGAAGAACTGCTTCATCCGGGGCTCAGTGGTCCGCTATGTACAGCTGCCCGCAGATGAAGTTGACACACAGTTGCTCCAGGATGCGGCCAGGAAGGAGGCCCTGCAGCAGAAACAGTGATGGCTCCTTTTCCCCTGCCCCTTCCATTGATGACCTTTAACCTGTGTCCCATCCCAGAACCCCTCCCCTGCATACTTGAGGTGGTGTGTTTTGTTATTATTGAAGAGTGAAGGTGTTTTTTTTGAGGGGTGAGTAGATTAGAGGGTTAATAATGGGGAGCAACTAATCCTTTGTTGAGAAGGGGAGGATAAGTAGGCTGGAGAACTGCAGACTTCCCTGTCTCTGGTTCCTGCCTTTCTCATTCCTTCCCTGGAGACAGAGAATCTCCTAGATCTCTCCAGGGCAGCTGGTGATTCATTTTGGGGATGGAAGGATCTGTCCCGCATCGGGAATAAAATTTATGATCCAAATTTGAGTTCTGGTTCTGTGTGTGTTTGGGGAAGGAGGCTGGAGGGTGGGAGCGGGATGTTCATTTTATCCAGGCCCTGTTCCTGTCACTGAGCCTAGAATCCAACCCACCTCACCATCATCACCCATAATGCTCCTTGTTATAAACCATGTAATACCTCTATTGGGCCACACTGGCTTTGAGAACAGGCCTCCACCAACACAGCCCTTATCCTGTACCTACCATGAGTGCTTGCTCCCCTTCCTCTAGCCTTACCTTAAAAGAACAATTAGCAGAAGGGCCTCCCTGGTGGCCTAGGGGTTAAGTCTCAGCCCTATCATCCCTAAAGCCTGAGTCCCATCCCTGGCCAGGGAGCTGACCTGTGCCTGCTGACCTCACCTGTCTCGCCCTCTGCTCCCCTCAGCAGTGTATCTCGGTATATCTGCCTGTTCTGCTCCCCACTCCGTCTTTGGTGAATCCTCTAACACACAATCCCCCTGCACCTTTGGCCTACAGTCCAGTTCTATGTCAAAAGAACAGTGTTAGGAGACACCAAGATGTGCTTAGTGCTGCCAGATTTCTTTCTCAACCCATCCACCTCAGTGCCCTTTCTGAACATAGACAAAATTACAAATGGGGGCCTCCCCGGTGGCGCTGTGGTTGAGCGCTGGGTTGCGAAGCTGCCCGCAAGCTTCTGCATCGCTAGTTCCGACCGCCGGCTGCTCCCCAGCCACCGGAGGAGGGTCCCACATGGCGCGCAGACCTCTCCTGCCGCCCGCTGCTCCCCTCAGCAGTGTACTTCGGTCCTTCTGCCTGCTCTGCTCCCCGCTCTGGCTCTGGTGAATTCTCTCACCCTCCCGCGCTTCTGACTGTATCCAGTGCTTGTATAAATAAATAAATAGTTAAATCTTTAAAAAAAAAAATACAAATGGTGTTTTGTCATTAAAAAAAAAAATTCCCTTCATTCACATGGAATATGGAAAGCCTGATTTGTATTGGACACTAGTAATTTACATTCCTAGACACCGTGCTAGGCTGGGCCCAACTCTGAGTCTGACCTCTGGGAGGGTTCTAGCTGGGAGAGGCCAGGAGACGGCTACTGAGGGACAAGAGTTAAGAGCCCGGGCTCGGGAGGCACCTGACGATCCCGGGGGCCTGGAGCTGCCGCAGCAGCGACGGCTGCCCGGGCGGGGTGGGCCCGGGGCTGAACCGGTCCAGGGAGGGAGTTTGCCGAGAAGCGCGTGAGGCCCTGAACCGAGAGCAGGGGGCGTGGCCGGGACACTAGACCCGAAGCCTCGGAGCTGCGGGCCGCTCGCCGGCACGTGACTTCCTCGGCCGTGGGACGAGGGGGCACATAACAGACCCCTAGGGTCGCCGAAGCGCCCTCGAGAGGGGCCCCGCGTGGAGGCCACGACGCCCTGAAGCGCCGAGGCTGCCAGAAGCCCCGCGCCGGCACGGTCCTGCCAGGAGCTCGGGACCGCACGAAACCTCACACTCAGTGGATGAGCTCCCGCCACGGAGGCGAGGCCTGGGCATTAGGGGGCCAGCCGCGTGCGCCCCTTCTCACCGGGAGCGGAGGCTCGGGGAGGAGCGGGACGCGGGGCCTCCGCAGGCCGACCCCGCCCCGCCGCTGCCCGGGCGGCCCGCCCCGCCCCCCGCCCCGCCGCCCGAGGACCCGTGCGGGGTGCCCGCGGCGACGCCTGATCGGGACGCGCTCCCGGGGGCGTGCCCCCGCCCGCGCCCGCGCCCCGCGCGTTCCCCGAGAGCGCGGCGGGCGGCGGGCGAAGAGCGCGCGGGCCCCGGGGCGGGTCCGGAGGGCGGCGCGGCGCGCGCAGGCGGGGCACGGCCGCCCGCGCCAGGACCCGCCGGCCCGGAAACGCTCGCTGTCACAAAGGGGGGAACACGTGGGCTCCGACGGCCGGGGCGGCGGTGGCAGGGTCCGAGGGTCGCCGGGAGCACCGCCCACCATCCCCACCCACCCGACTCCTCCGCCGGGGCAGCCAGGCCGGTCCAGCTTTGGCCGGCGCCCGGCTGTGAGGTGGATGCCCGGCTCAGTCTGAACACCTCCCTCCAGTACGTACAGGAGGCCCGAGGGCCGAGGGGCTTCTCCCCTAGTCTCCCGCTTTCCCGAGAACCGCGATCTTGGGGAGCCCCCACCCCACTGCCACTGCTCCTCCTAGAGCCGGACCCGCGGCTCTTGAGGCGCGACCGTATTGCCAGTCCTGGGGGTCGGGGCACCTGCAGCGCCTGCGGGAGGGGAGCCTCGCTGTCTACTCAGCTAGGACCCACCTGGGCCCCTCAGTCTTCCCGTCTCTCTTTCTCCTTAGGTTTTTTCCACCTCGCACAACCATGTCCATCCTCTACGTCTCCCCTCACCCAGATGCCTTCCCCAGCCTCCGAGCCCTCATAGCTGCACGCTACGGGGAGGCCGGAGAGGGTCCCGGATGGGGGGGACCCCACCCCCGCATCTGTCTCCAACCGCCCCCTACTAGCAGGACTCCGTTTCCCCCACCCCGACTGCCGGCTCTGGAGCAGGGGCCCGGTGGGCTCTGGGTGTGGGGAGCCACAGCTGTGGCCCAGCTGCTATGGCCAGCAGGCTTGGGGGGCCCAGGAGGTAGCCGGGCAGCCGTCCTCGTCCAGCAGTGGGTCAGTTACGCGGACACGGAGCTAATACCAGCTGCCTGTGGGGCAACGCTGCCAGCCTTGGGACTCCGAAGCTCCGCCCAGGACCCCCAGGTGAGTGAGAAGAGAAGCACAGGCAGGGGAGGTTTAGGAGAACGAAGCAAGGAATAGAATGATGAAATTTCAGATTGCCACCTGCTACGGTGACCCTGGGCAAACTTAAACTCTTCCTCCATGAAAGCCTTGCTTCTCACGTTGAGGGACATTGTTGAGATTAAAAGACTTATGCAGAGCACATGTCCCTCCCGGGCCTTTTAAAGTCTCTGAATAAAAGTTTTTGAGTCTGAAAACTGTTAAAGATAGCAGTTGCTGTGAATTGTAGGAAACGACTTAGGCCAAATGAGATGAGGCCTGTAGGACAGAAGAGATGATAGTTGCTGGGAAGATATGAAGGAGAAATGAATGAGGAAGGGAAGTAAGGGGAAAGGAGAGATAACCTTGCCTTCTCATGTAATTGTAAGCCCTTCCAGAAGGGGACTGTGCCTCGGGGTCTCTGTAACACCCCTACTTGCAGAGCATTGAGCCCCTGATGGATACTTAATATTTCTTGAATGAATGGATGAAATGAATGTGATGTGGATACTGGCTTGTTCCCTTATATCCTGATTATCCCATTTAGCACAGAGGTCCGGGTTGGAACTCCCTGTCTCTCCATCTGACTTACTATTCTTCATAGCACTTAAGGAGAAAAATAGGGCAGTGTGTTATGTATTTGTACATATATTGTCTGCCCACTAGAATATAAAGTCCACCGGGTCAGGAACTCTGCTCATCTGCTCAGTGGACTCCTTAAAGTGCCTGGCACATTGTAGATGCTTGATTTTTTTTTTTTTAAGGTAACATTAGTTTACAACACTGTATGGGTTCCAGGTGTACATTTTCTCACCTCAGCACATGTACATATCACACCACACCTGCCACCAAATACCCAGCCACCATCTATTACCAACCAATCACCCAATATATATTTGTTGAAACAATTACTGTGTTGCCCCATACAATCTTTACTACAACTTTCTGTGCTTGATATATTGCTTCTGACACATAAACTAACTCAGCAAGAATTTATTGAATGAGTGGGAAGTATTTTTATTATGGTCATTTCAGTGACGAAGAAACTGGCATAAGAGGTGGGATTTGTGGGAGTAGGAGGGCCAAATGGATTGGAGGACCTCGTCTCATACCCCTTCTTCTCACCAGGCTGCTCTGGGTGCCCTAGGTAGGGCCCTGAGTCCCTTGGAAGAGTGGCTCCGGGGGCACACCTACCTGGCCGGGGAGGCCCCCACTCTGGCTGACCTGGCGGCTGTCACGGCCTTGCTGCTGCCTTTCCGATATGTGAGTCCCTGGGGTCTGGGGACAAATGAGGGCACCTCCCCTTAAATCTCACTCTGGGGTGACTAAGGATAGTTCGTTCCTTTCTTCGCTCCCAGGTCCTGGACCCCTCTGCGCGCCGCATCTGGGGTAATGTGACTCGCTGGTTTATCACATGTGTCCAGCAGCCAGAATTCCGGGCTGTGCTGGGAGAGGTGGTTCTCTGTTCTGGCGCCAGGACACTCTCCCAACAGCCAGGTGAGGAGTGATTCCACTGCAGCCTTCCGTGCAGCTCACTTTCTTTTTTCTCTTAGAGATGGCAGAATCACTGGGGCAAGGGTCTGCAGCAGGGAGAAGTGTGGGGGTCAGCATGGGAGAGCCTTGGCAGCTGAGATAGCTCCTCACAGAGGGTCTCCATCAGGCTGTCCGCCTTTCTTTGTTTCTCTCTAGGCCCTGAGGTCCCTGCACCCCCAAAGACAGCTGCTCAACTGAAGAAAGAGGCAAAGAAACGGGAGAAACTAGAGAAATTCCAACAGAAACAGAAGATCCAACAGCAGCAGCCTCCTCCAGGAGAGGTAAGTGGCTTAGGGTGAAACTGGATGGATGGCTGGTGTCGTGGTAGGCTGCTGATTTCTGGGTCTATGTCTTTTCCTTTCTAACCAGAAGAAACCAAAACCAGAGAAGAGGGAGAAACGGGATCCAGGGGTCATTACCTATGACCTCCCAACCCCACCTGGGGAAAAGAAAGGTATTAGGAAAGAGAATGGGACCCCTACCCCCCACCTCCACCCTCCTCAGCTGCTCCTTCCAAGTTTTTACCCCTTCTCTGTCCCCACTTTGCTTCGTGAGGCTTTGCAGAGCCCCTCCAACCTCCCAGTGCCTGTGCTGTGACGTGAGCTACAGAGGCCCAAGTCCTCTGTTGACATCATTGTCTTCCCAGCTGCTCCCAACCTCAGCACTGTCCCCTTCCCCTTCTCCCCAGATGTCAGTGGCACCATGCCTGATTCCTACAGTCCTCAGTATG